ACAAATACACCTAGTTTTGTAAGCTCCCCAGCCTAATGACCCAGCAATCGTCGCACTTGAATTTATTTTAGTCCAACTTTGATATCTCAAATGCAAATATTGTAATGCTGCTTGTAAACGAACCTTAGTTCCTTTATCAACTTGTTTACTGTTCTTTTCTAACATATTGTCTAATTCCTCAATTGCTCGTTTCATACAGGCTTTATCATTGTTTATATTTATTTCTGCTTATTCCACTATTGAATCTACAGTACTATCGACTATTATTGTATCTCCATACTCATCAATCACTATTGTATCTATAGCCTCATCAACCAAATTTGTCTCCATTAATTGTACTGCTGCATCTGTAGCTGAAAATTTAGATAAGTAAGAAGTAATAAATTTTGTATTTTGCGCAGCTTTTTTTAGTTCAGCTTTTTTTCATTTTAATGTTCTTCCAGAATTACTATAATTATAAGTAGGTCTACCCACAATTTTCCAAGTATTATTATTCCTAGCAGCTGCTAGTAAAACTTCAAAGTAACTATCAGCTTTTTCATCGATTTCTTCATCCACCCAAATATGATCATCAAGCTCTTCATCAACTAATTCATAATCTAATAAATCATTATCTTTGTGCATTGTCTTACTTTTTTTTAAATGCGCACGCTCAACTTTTGATTTTCTTGCAGCCTCAAGTTGGCGTTTTCTTTTATTTGGGGGAGGCATAATAGTGATATGGGTTAAATACAATAAAAATTAAAACCATAATCTCTTCACACAATTTTGTTGTAATGGCTTTGGTGTTTTTTCGTGTTTTTTTTTTAAGGATTTATTGGTCTAATTTTTTTTTTTCTTAAGAAAAAAAAAAATAAGTTGGCCTACTTTATGACCTTATGAATGCCAGGGATTTATGGCAGGTCTACTTTATGACCTTATGAATACCGGGGCTCCGGATCTATATATCGTGAGACCCAAGTCCACAGAGTTCGTGCTATGTCTTGCACTCGCTTTATTATGGTATTTTGCTTCTTATTCTAACACTTGAATCTCTTTCGTAAATGACCTCAAGAATGGGTTCGATCTTACTGATCGAACCTTATTTATTCATTTGCTTTCATGCATTATTACATCACTGAATCATCACAATAGATTGTAAAATTCCATTGTCGTGAATAAACTTCTATATTTCATCAATTACGTAGATCTAGCTAATTACGATTTTACCCCTGCAAGATCTAAAAAAAGCTAACCCCAGCACTAAGTCTATATCTGACCAATTATACATAACTGATTTGTGAAATTTAATTGGATAATTAATTAATCATATAATTTGTACCACCTTAGAATTTTGGCCACGATAGTTACATGATGTCGGTTCTAGGCTTCTTGCACCATATAATATTAAGGTTTTAAATATGGAATTCTTTGATTTTTTTAATTTGAGATTTGTTTTCTAAAAATCAAAGATATTTTTTTGGGTGTATTCAAAATTCTCATGCCCTAAGCTTCATTAATCTATTTAGATAGTAGTTTGTACTGTGATCATAGTTTAGTTGTTTAGCACAATATAATATTATACTATAAAGAGATGAAATAAACATAAGGTATTGATTTATTATCAAAAATCAAAGAGATTGGTAATACAGATATAATGTTTAATATTGTTATCTTAGACATTTATAAGCATTTATTTCAATAAATTTCAAAAGAATTTGATAAGCTATTCATTGAGTTCATTGAAGTAGTACTTGAGAATGTCCTTAATGGAATTGGAGTTGTAAATATAAAGCATTTATTTATTAACAAAAATCTGTAGCTAATTGGAATTTATTTGATTTTTTTATTATTGCTACTGGTTTTGGTATGGGGTTATTGCATTTAAATAATTTTTTTAACTAAAAATTAGATTTTAGCTTATTTTTTAATTTAGCTATAACAAAAAGCCTATTATTTTGGTATTATTTATACTATACTCATTTTTTGTGAATTTTAGTACTTGGTTTCTGAAGACTGTTCAAGAATTTTAGAATTGCTTGTATAATAATTTAATTGGTAATCTACCAGTCAACCAGAGAATAATCATAGTAAAATGTGACTCAAATTATCTATAAAAATTGGAGAGTTTCAAATACTAAGTTAATCACTTTTCTAACTTAAAAGACTTTTGTAAAGCTTGTCAAGACACATCTAATAGTGGTTAGAGTGTCAAAATCGGCTTGGTAGGTGCAAAGATATCTTTAAAAAACATTTTTTTTACTAAGTAAACTTCTTTGCAAACAATAATATTGTTTGCAAAAAAGTTTACTTAGTAAAAGAAATGTTTTTTAAAGATATCTTTGCACCGATTTTGACACTCTAACTACTATTAGATGTGTTTTGACAAGCTTTACAAAAGTCTTTTAAGTTAGAAAAGTGATTAACTTAGTATTTGAAACCCTCCAATTTTTATAGATAATTTGAGTCACATTTTACTATACAAGCAATTTTAAAATTCTTGAACAGTCTTCAGAAACCAAGTACTAAAATTCACAAAAAATGTGTATAGTACAAATAATACCAAAATAATAGGCTTTTTGTTACAGCTAAATTAAAAAAAAGCTAAAATCTAATTTTTAGTTAAAAAAATTATTTAAATGCAATAACCCCATACCAAACCAGTAGCAATAATAAAAAAATCAATTAGCTACAGATTTTTGTTAATAAATAAATGCTTTATATTTACAACTCCAATTCCATTAAGGACATTCTCAAGCACTACTTCAATGAACTCAATGAATAGCTTATCAAATTTTTTTGAAATTTATTGAGATAAATGCTTATAAATGTCTAAGATAACAATATTAAACATTATATCTGTATTACCAATCTCTTTGATTTTTGATAATAAATCAATACTTTATGTTTATTTCATCTCTTTATAGTATAATATTATATTGTGCTAAACAACTAAACTATGATCACAATGCAAACTACTATCTAAATAAATTAATGAAGCTTAGGGCATGAGAATTTTGAATACACCCAAAAAAATATCTTTGATTTTTAGAAAACAAATCCCAAATTAAAAAAATCGAAGAATTCCATATTTAAAACCTTAATATTATATAATATATAGTTAAAATTTTGATAATTAAAAAAAAAAGATATAATAAATCAAAAATTTGGTATCAATACTCATACTATTATATATTAAAATCTATTCTTAACTAAGATGTCTAGTAATAAATTGTTTGAAAAAGATGCTGATGAAAATAATATATCATTTGAATATGATAGAATCTATAATTTTAACTCTAATTTTAATGAAAATATTGAAGATAGAAATAGTTTTAGTGATAAAAATGTTAATTATAATGAAGATGATAATTATATTAGTGAAAAGGAGAAAAATACTGTTAATTTTTTATCTATTACATCTTATTTTCTTTTACAAGGAACTTTGACAAAATAAATCTTAAAACAAACACAATTCAAAAAAAAAAGGCCTACTGCTAGTTGGGTATGGAAATATACATGCCAAGATAAAGTAACCAAAGTCAAATATTGTAAAGTCTATATAGATCATAAAGATGGTACTTCTGAGTAGTGTAAAACCGTGCACAAAGTATTGAATTTTTAAGAACCAAAAATGGAATGCACCTTCTATACCAACTGAAAATTCCATTTTAACAAATTAGCCAACAATTGAAAAAATTATACAAAAACAGATAAAAAATAATTATTACTTTTCTAAAAAGCAACAAAATCACATAGTTTATTGACTTGTTAATTGGATTGTTAAAGAAATGATGCCATTAAATTGTATCAACAATAATTGGTTTTGAAACTTTTGTTATGAAATTAATTAATATTTTGAAGTTCCTTGCATCAATAATGTTAAAAACATTATTAAAGAATTAGTATTTTATATATATACAATGCTAAAAGAAATGATGAGTTAAACAATAGTTTCTATCTGCCTTACCACTAATTTATAGACACAAAATCATGTTTCATATATTGGCATAACAGCTTATTGGCTTTCTGAAAACTTTACTATATGTCAATTCTTAATTACAATTAAGCATTTCCTCTATCTGCATACAGAAGATCAAATTAAAAATTTTTTGTGCAAGGTTCTTGTAAAATAAAATATGTTTGATAAAATTAGTACTGTAATAACTGACAATGCACCATTAATAATAAAGACAATTAGACAATTAGGCACTTTTCACCTTGGCTGTATAGCACACACTATTCACCTTTTAATTACAGATCGATTAAAAAAAGTTGAACCTTTAATTAAATGTGCAAAGTCACTAAATAACTTTTTAGTTAACTATAACAAATATAAATTGTTATTCTGAAAAATTCAAAGTGAAAAAAAAATAATAATACAAATCAACTAACCACCAACATGTCCATTTTAGATTTTATATCAAGTGACATTGCTATTAGATAGAACTCCACCTATTTTGTTCTTCAACAGCTTCTTAAACTTCAAGAACCAACTTTAAAATTGGTAACAAACCTAACAAATAATCCTGATGGTAATAGCTTAAATAAAAAAATATTTACTAATAAAGATTGAACAGATTAATCTATATTCTTGTTTAAAATTTTATATTAATTAAAGATTTCTAGTACAAAAGAGCAAAAAGTGGTAATAGTACTATGTAATAGTTTTATTGCTATTTTTTGTTATAAGAATCTTAATTATTTTGAATTTTTTTTTTTTGTTTTAATAAAAAAAAAATTTCAGATCTTGATGAAATATATCAAATGCTACATCTATTCATACAAGTATTAACATTTATAGGTGGTGACCAAAATCCAAAATTGAGTATAACAATAAGATATCTTTTTAAATTTTTAAACCAAGTAGAAGGTGAAATATACCAAGATCTCTACATATCAATAATATCTCAATAGAATAATTTAAAATAATTAAGTAGCTTGTGACATTTCTTGACCTCTGCTTTAAAACATTAGCAGCCATCTCACCCACAATACAAAAAGAAGTAATATAAAAGTTATATAAAAAAATTAAGCTTTTTCACAAAAAAAACACCTTACCAACTACTAATCAAGCCTTAGATACAGAAATGTCTTTTTTTTTGATAATGAAATTAAGCTTTATTCTTTTCTCAAATTGATACAGAGCTTCAACTACCATATATTCCCGAAAATAAGCTACCTTTTTTGGGCCAAAAATTACACAAAAATTCCCGAAGTAGCTTATTTTCGAGTACAATTTCAAAAGTTTGATTTTTAATTATTTGTAAAATTCAGAAGTAGTTTCTATATATAAAAGTCAAAATTCTACTAAATAAATCGATAAAAGTCACTTAATAGGAGTTATTTAGAATACAAAAATATATATATACTAAAATTTTCAAGCAAATTAGAGAACTTTTTACTAAGATGTTTTTGCATTTTATGTCTAAATATAAAAGTTCTCTGATTTGCTTGAAACTTTCAGAATATGTGTATTTTTGTATTCTGAACAACTTCTATTAAGTGACTTTTATCGATTTACTTAGTAGAATTTTGACTTTTATATATAGAAACTACTTATAGATTTTACAAAATTATCAGAGGTAATTTATTTTCAGAATAAAAAAGTTTCTTATGTTTCTCTTCCAAGAAAAGAGGGGGTAGCTTATTTTTGGAGTAACTTATTTTCAGAAATATATAGTATATTTTTTAATTTTACCAATTCCTAAATATGATCCAAAAAACCCATATTATAAAAAGTATAATCCTTTAAGTTGGTAGAAAGAGCATAAATGTACTGTAACCGAAATAATCAGTTTAGGGTTGGATTAGATCTTTGTTAGAAGAGATTCAAGACGAAGACGCTTTTATTTAGATAGTTTTTAGGACATGATAGTGGATTATGTCTTTACTAAAGAGCTTTTACAGATCTTTTTATAATCTTTTTAATAATTTTAACTATTCTAAATATAATTTCTAAACTGTTTACTGGCCCTGTTATACAAAACGATTTTATACATAACGATTTATGCGTAATGATCATATGCATAACGATTTATGCATAACGAATTTATGCATAACGAAATAAATAACATAACTAAATAAAAGAAAATATATCTATACTATTTACAGTATAAAAGAAAAA